ATAGGTCCGCAGTGCGTGGTAAACTACTTTACCTGTTTTAATAAAGTTTCAGGGTTTGAGCCAGGCCGCGCCATTGCGCCAATCCCGCAATAAAATTTAAAATGTCCCCTCTGAAAATGATTCAGGGGTAAATTTGTCCCCTAAAAAAGCGAGCGATTTTTGCCCAAATTTTACTGAAGTATTTGTGCCCAAAAAAAAAATTGCAAGAGTTGAAATTCAACATAAATTCGACTATAAACGGCACAATTTTTCAATAGACAATTTGGTTTTAGCCGCAGAATTAATACGCTAACAGCAATTTTTGTGAAAGATAGGAGAAGCAAGATTTAGATGTTTGTTTTGTCTCATTTTGACAACATCAGAAACTGACCAATCAGAAGCAGTCATTCCCACGGCTTGTGTAAACATTGCAACACGATCTGACAGAAATCGGCTGAGTAAAGCGTTGTTTTTTTAAACTACAAAATTGTGATTCAAAATAAAAGACTTTTAGACTTATCCTGACTCTTCTTCTCCCAAAACCACTTTAGTAGTGTCTCATCCAATTCTGGATACTTTGACAAAATGTTCAAAATTGCGGCTTTTTCCCCCGAAATTGTTGTGAGAGAGGCTTCAGTGCCCAAAACAGGATTAAAAATGCATTGAGAAGCAGACTAAAAGCCAACAGGTTAGATGTACTTATGACCATAGACATCGAGGGGCCACCTTCTGTGGACTTTGATTTTTCTTTAGCCCTTGAAGAGTGGGCTATAAAGAACAGGAGAATTTTGAAATCGTGAAATACTGCTATTATACATGTTTACAGAGAAAGATAAAAAGAAGCATGCCACCTTACAATGTAACTTGTTGCTATTTCATTAAATGTTTAAAATTTTAGTTCAGTTTGAAATTTTCCCTATGCTTAGGCGACCCTCAGAAATGGAAAATGTCCCCCAAAAAATAACCTAAAGGGACAAATTGACTCAAATAGTCAAATCCTAGCTCAAACCCTGATAAAGGAAAAGGACAATCAAAATTAATGACAGTGAAAGTTTCTGAGAATTAGTTATTTTCAGAAAACAAGGTAAAACAGTTGATGAGATCAAGAATGCTTAATTTGTCACTGTAAGATTGCAAATGGAAGGTAGGGCAAAAAAAAAAAGAAAGGTTGAGGGGAAGGGGGGGTGGGGAAGGGGTTGCAGACTTACCTGTGGAAATTTGTTTAATGCAGGGTTGTCAATAAAGGTTGCAGTTAGAAATTAACCAAAATGCTAAAGGAGCTGCCTTGAAATTTCAAGACTGTGTTATATAGTTTATTTTTGTCTTTTGTAAATGGCTGTTAAACTGGACAACTCTTAGAGAGATGACTTCAAACTTAATTTTAAAAGGCCTGTTCTGGTACCAGATGAATAAGCAGCATTTCCTTATTAATAGTTTTGCAAGTTTCTCATTACAGATTCCTCTGAAAAAAAGGGAAAAAACTCTTTTCATAATGATTTACTGCTTTCTTTTTTGTTGCTTTCTTAACTTAAAAACAATGTACATCATGATAAAATAATTTGTTATAGGACACTGTGAAATGAGGCCCAAACAGCTTTATGATCTGTGAAATATGTTTCTAAAACATCTGCTTGTATATCAATGTTAGATATATTTGTATACATATGATCAATTATTGTGTTGTTGTCAGTTGTATAAGTTGATATGAGCTGTTTGTAATGTTTTTCCCTCACTAGTAGATTATACAAAGGTCTTCTGTCTGTTTCAACAAGCCAATTTATATTAAAGTCTCCAGTAATGATATTGTTGTCTGGTGAAATGTTATTCAATACCTCAGTTATTGCTTCACAAAGTTGTCTTACAGGCACGTTTGGGGAGCGATATATCCCTATGATTGTCCAATCCTCAAGACTTGCTAACTTAATTACTGTCATTTCAACACCATGTATATTGTGACAATAGGGGTAGCCAGGTAAGTATGGGATTTTACTGTACACAGCTGTACCACCATGAGGCCTTGATCCATTACTGGAATTAAGGTTATCATTACGGAAGAGAACAAAACCAGCAATGTCATACATGTCATTATTATCTTGAGAACTAAATCTTGTTTCTGTGAAAATATTGATATCAGCACTTAAATAATTTAAGTCTTCACGTATATCTTCTATGTGTCTGTGAAGAGACCTTGCATTAAAATAACACAGTTTAAGAAGGGAAGATGTTATGTCATAGAGGGGGGAGATGCAAAGCTTAAGTTTTGCAGTTGTTCTTAATCTCTCTATTTCCTTCTTAACATCTGGATTAACAGCAATCTTGCTTTCACACAAATCAGAAATATACAGGCCTTCTATAGCAGTCATTCTACTGAGTCCCACATAATGTATGTGTGGAATAGTATTTCTGGTACTAAAATCCACAACAATTCTACTTTCAGTATCACCTTGTGACCTGTGAATTGTTTTTGCTGCTGCAGGACGCAATGGAAATTGTTTTCTAACAACTTGTGCTGTTTTGTTTCTACCTACTGCAAACTGTGTAGTCACAGGGTTTACTGGGGTCCATGTGTGTTCAATTCCTTGTACATACAAATGTCTTTTTTCATTCCTTGTTTTCTGACCTACATCTGAGTGGTCAAATTGTACCCATACAATACCAGATGGTTTGGTTTGTTGATGTAACTGAATTAGTTTAACAACATTTCCAGCACCATTTGTCATGCCATCTTCAGTTCGTATATTCATAACAAGATCTGTTCTTTCACCCTCAGCAAGACAAAGGGTTGAGGCTAACTGTTTTGTTTCTCTTGGATCATTGGGTATTTTTCTTAGTATTTTGTTTCTTATCTCTGGAGAGATAGCTCCAATAACACTATCTTGAGCATTTATTATGAATTTGTTTCCTGTGGCTGCATTATGAGCCCTTTGATTAAATTCATCTACTTTCGCATTCTGTATAAATAAGTGAGGTGCATCTATTGGATTGTTGATGTCTTCATGTATAGCTCTCTCTTTAAGTTTTGCAATGTCAGCAGCTGTGTGTTTACCTTCACGCAACCTATTAAGTAGTTCTGCAAACAATTTGCTGTCTCTTTGACGCATGATTTCATTAAGTTCAAACATTTTAAAGTGTTTATGCCATAAACTGGGAGAAAGAACAGCATAATCTACATTTTTGAGGTCTTTGAAAATATAAGCATCCATAACAGGTTCTAATTGGAATAAGTCACCAATAGCAATTATGCTCACACCTCAAAAATCCTCTCTACAGCCTTTTATATCTTTAAGCCTATTGTTTAGCTGTATTGCAAACATACCATTTCCTACCATTGAGATTTCATCAACAAAAATCAATTTAACACCTCCAAACTGACTTCTCAAAGTGTTTAGTCTACTTGAATCAAGCTGTTTGTAATTTCTCAGCGATTGATTGGCAGGAATGGCCAGAGTGCTATGAAGAGTGTTACCCTTAATGGTATATGCAGCTTTACCAGTTGGAGCTAATAGTATAACTTTGATCTGATGAAAATCATCACCAGCTCTAGTGTTATAATACTTAAGTGCTGCCTGATACAAAGCCTTTGTTAAATGTGATTTGCCCACACCAGCCCCTCCACTGAGGAAGCAGTAGAAAGGGGTTTCTGAGGTTTTAATCTGATGTAAAATGTGATAAAAAAATTATTTTTGCTCTTTATTGAGTGTCTGGATCATTTGACGAAAATCACAATCTGGTAATTCATTCACTATCAGTGGTTCACCATTCAGCGATGTTGATGGAATGCCAAGATCATCAGAGAGGTCATAGTTTTCACTAAAATCAGGATGTAAATCTTCGGTACCCTCAGCTTCATCTTGCAATTCAACATTTTGTGTGTTTGGTGCTATGGGATCAAACTGCTCATCATTATAATCTGTGTTGTGTAAATCTTGTTCAATCTCATTTAAATCTTCACTACAGACAGCATACTGCATCATTTGTTTATCTATCTGTTCTTTCAAAAGAAGGTAATACTCTTGATATGAAGAACTGTTCCCCATTAAATCAGTTTCTTCATTTCGCCATGAAGTAAAAAGCATAATAAGTTCACAGTAGTGTTTTTCTGATTGAGATTTTACATTGAACCACACACTCCTAATTATTCTGGGTTTTAAATGCTGTTTTGGATTTCCTGGTTTTCCAACCTGTGTGCTTTCTTTGGCACAGTCAAAGAGCTCATCATCATTGTTTTCATTTTCATCTATTGTCTCCAGTGGGAGATTATCCAAATCAGTACTTTTGGATTTTTTCATGAAAGGTTTTTGACAAGAATCATATAATGCGGCCCAATCAGCTAGTGAAATATTCTCAAAACTGGCAGGTCTTTGTTTATACCTGTTTAACAGACCACTACAGTGAACTTCTTCTGAGTCATCATCCATTTCTTCTATTTCATTCATTGGTTTCAAGAGTTGCACTCTTTCCTCAGGAGGTGTGGTGTTAATAAAAATCACTTGTCTGGAACTTTTTCTCATTCTAAGAAGATGTATCCACTGTGTTTCAGCTGACGAAAAACTACAAAATAAAGTAGCAGGCCCTAGTTGTCTGATCATTGCAAAGATATCTTTTTTTGCTTTCTCGAAATAAGGAGGGGAGCCACGAAGTGCTCTTAAGAATCTGTAGCCTTCATCAAGATGAACTAATCTTTCCAAGGTGCCTGGTTGCTTTAACTGACCAGCTGTAAGAAATCTATTATTGCCTTTACATTTTCGTAGTGCTATTTGAGATTTTCCTAGCAGAATCTTCATTTGTAATTTTTTAGTTTTAAAAAATATATTCTCTGTAGACATTGCAGCTGGTCTATCTGACCTTCGTAATTCTGATTTGCAAATATGACTGTAATGAACATCAACTAGTCTCTGTTCATTTTCTGGCCTCTTTTGACCTAGAAATATTCCTGGATAGGCTAACTCTTCAGAATATTTGTCCCTAAATATACTCAAAGGTACACTTCCTTCCCCAGGGGCAATGTTGTAAATTTGTTGTCATTCATTGTCATCAAGAAAGTCAGTTGCAGTTAACATAGTATCGGTTACTCCTGAAGGTATTTCTGCATCCTCTTCAGTCCAGTCATCATGAAATTCACTGGTTTCTTGGCCTGCAGTCTTTTTGATAGCATTACATGTATCACTTATTTGTTCATTGCAGCTGGCTTGAGAAGCATCTTCACTCTCAGTTTCATTTTGCAAGTATATGTTACAATTTGCCATCTTGTCTTTACTAAAAGATATTCCTTGTTCCCTATAAAGATTACTGTTAGTAGCCAGCCAGTTTGCTGCTTGTAAGATTTTATACGGTCTAACATTTAAGGACAGTGTAGAACTCTTATACTGTAATCGTCTCTTTAACTGAACTTTTATTGTGCCACTTTCCTCAGGTAACCGTGGTAACTCATTAACAGTATTGTTAACATCTGCTGGTATGTTCACAACATTTCCTTTTATTTTCAACTGATTTCCTCTTGGGGCTTGCATAAGCTTTTGGAAAGCTAATCTAGGTGCTAGAAGTCTGCACTCTAACTTGTTTAAATCAAAAAAGTCTGGTTTCACTGGAAAGGTCATTCCATTCATAGCTGCACAAGGTGGTATTTTGTTTTTCTTCAGATTTTTATCACAAGACTGACAAATCCACTCAATGTCATTGACACTTTTTTTACTCAGCAAATATTTTCCTGCATTAGGATTGGAAACTCTCAGCCTTTCAGCCTTAACAACACTGTGTTTATACCACAATTGGTCACAGCAAGAACAAATGTACAGTGGACCTCTAGAAACAGCTACATGAAATTTTCGGATTTCATTAGCAATGGTTAAACTATTGGAAATATTTCTTCTATACTCTTGATGTGTTTGCAATCTCTTTTGCCTACATTCAACAGATGCATTTGCAATTTTTTCTTTCTCATACTGACGTTGATTTGCCAGTCTCTGTTGTCTACATTTGACAGATTCATTTGCAATTTTTTCTTTCTCATACTGACGTTGATTTGCCAGTCTCTGTTGTCTACATTTGACAGATTCATTTGCTTTTCTTTCTTTATCATACTGACGTTGATTTGCCAGTCTCTGTTGTCTACATTCAACGGATTCATTTGCATTTTTTTCTTTCTCATACTGACGTTGATTTGCCAGTCTGTGTTGTCTACACTCAACAGATTCATTTGCAATTTTTTCTTTTTGATATAGAGATTGACTAGCCAGTCTTTTTTGTCTAGATTTAACAGATTCACTTGCACGACTCTTTCTCTTATTTTTGCGCTGTTGTGCCAACCTCTTTTGCCTAGATTCTTCACTTTCATTTGCCTTTCTCTTTTTCTCATATTCACGTTGGGCAATCAACCGTTTTTCCCTTATGTCTGCTATTTCACTTGAACACTTTCGCTTTCTGTTAACAAGCTTTTTTGGATTATTTTTGTCACTTGAACGTGACTCTTCATTCTTCTGGCTGTTTTGAACACTTTTCAAATCAAGTTGACAATCACTGATTAAAACACCTTTGATTTCAAAAGGAACAACCCCTACTTCTGAGCAAGACATTTGCAAATATGACACATTGTTTTTAAGGCCTTCAATGCTCAGCAAAGTACATTTCCCAAATGAATGGGGCATGCCATAAAAATCTTTTGAATGAGAGTCAAAAATCTTAAAGCTTTGTTCAGAATTTTTAAACACTGCAACAGTATTGTTTCCAACAGTTAACAAACAACAATGGTAGTTTAGTCCAGAATTTGAAAATACTTCCATCAGTGAATTTTGAAGAGACATGTATGGGCCATTATTTGATGTCATGAACAAACTTCCAGTTAATGACTCACTGTATTGCAATGTATACACTTTGTTGTAAAGTGAAACAGCACATGGAACATCAGTTAACAGCAAATAATCATTTGTTTGCACGGAATATCTTTTATATCGATGCATGTTTCGAAGAAAAACGTCCCTTTACGTGAGCTCTGCCCGAAAAAGATGTCCCAACATGAAGAAAATGCTAGAATAAACACAACAGATGATTTGGAACAATTTGGCCACCAACTGTGGCAGTTTTAATTAAATCAATTATAACTAAGTGATAACAAAGAGCGGAATATCTGAACTTATCAACCAATAATGTCAACGTGGGGCGACAAAAAACGCCACCACGAAACACAATGGATAAGGCTAATGATAAATTGGATAATTAAAGAAATATTGAGAACCCGTTGGAAGGTGATAGGGGTGGTGGAGGGAAAAAATTTCTTGAGCACTTGACGTTCGAATGGCGAGGGATAGAAGGGCGAATCAAGGAATTTCTCCTGGTTATAACATAGCAAACTCCGCCCTTACTACCGATTGGTTACTGTTCGTACCTGGTACAAACCTCCCAACGGGTTATCATATAAACATGCCCCGACATAAAAAACATTATGTCTAGACATAATGTTTGTCTTTATATCGATGCATGTTTTGAAGAAAAACGTCCCTTTACGTGAGCTCTGCCTGAAAAAGATGTCCCAACGTGAAGAAAATGCTAGAATAAACACAACAGATGATTTGGAACAATTTGGCCACAAACTGTGGCAGTTTTAATTAAATCAATTATAACTAAGTGATAACAAAGAGCGGAATATCTGAACTTATCAACCGATAATGTCAACGTGGGGCGACAAAAAACGCCACAAGCCACAAACTGTGGCTGAAGCCCCACAAAAACGAACAGACACGACAAATACAAATGAAAGAAAGAATAAAAATGCAAAGCTCACGTAATGGAGGGAAAGCAACTCTACACAAAAATCCATGTAGACTGCAGCCCATGTCTGAACAGTCCCATGTGACTAAAATCAAAGAGAGAATGCAATCCAAAAACGGCAGCCACTTGTCTGAACCCCCTGGAAAGCATTCAACTCATCGAGATAAGTAACACGAATTACCTGAAGTGGTAAAGAAGAAGTGGGCAAAAAACACTAAAACATGTAATGTAACGGCAGAAAGCCTGCAAAAAAGCAGCCACTTGAAAAACCGGCATGACAACAACTTCGCAGCCCTTGATTGAATGAAGTGGCGCCCAAGACTGTAATGGTCTATCAATTAGTAGTAAGAATTTCGGAACGTAAATAAACTTTAAATGCATCCAATTTCCAGTGGCCAAGCGCACGAATTTGGGCATCAGAAAAACCATTGTCGGCAGCATGACAAGCGCCACCAATGCGAAAACTATGGCTTTTATAGCGGCTAAGATCGAGACCATAGTACGTTAAACACCTCTGAAGTTCTGTGTTGAATTGATGTAAAGACACAGGCGAAAAATCAGCGTTACAGAAAAGTGGACCTGACCGATCGCCGCAAAGCCTAGTATACTGCAAGAGAGCAGTAACTGGGCAGAGAGAAGGAATGTCTTCTCGAGCAAGCAAAATGTTAAATGGCCTTTTGGAAGGGTTGTGTTTGTATTCGGAAATGCTAATTTTCGCAATATGGGGCAGGCCGTTACAAGTTAAAAAGGTCAAGCTGTGATATTGAACAACTGATGAGCCCAAATGCGTGCTCTTGACGACAAGTTCGCCAATGCGAAATAGACCATAGAAAGCGAAGAGTTGGTGAAATCCAGAGACCGAACAAGTTGATGTAACACAGGCTTCGTCACAGGAAGACGAACGTCTGCAGCTCGTTGCCGACTTAATGCTGTCAACAACTTTTGAATTAAGAAAGATTTGGTGGGGTTACGTAAGCCCTTTAATTTGTGTACATAAGAAATAGCCGAAAGGTAGGAGGTTATTGTAGAGTATGCCATCTTCCGAAAAGAGAGGTAAGAAATGAAAAGTGGAATACAATTTGGAACTAAAGGTAAAATGGGATTTTCAGACCCATAAAAACGACAATAAAATTGGCGAAAAACAGCCCAAGCGCGTTGATATTGACACCTGGAGCTATCTGTCAATGCACTCCCTAAGAGGCCTCTTAAATTAGAAACCAACTCTCCGGCATCAGGTTCTCGGGAACTGGAGTGGGGAAGTCGTCTGCTTCCGGTGATAATTCTTTGAACTTCACAACCTGGAAACGTGAAAGATAGTCGGCACGAGAATTGATCAACCCCGGAATATGGCGAGCTTGAAACAGAATATTGTGCGTAAGGCAGCTTAAAACTAAATCCCTAAGGAGAACCATAATATAGGCGTCCTTAGATGTCTGCTTATTAATAATGTCAACAACGGCGGCGTTGTCGCTAAAAAACAATACACACTTATCAACCATCAATGAACCCCAAATGTGAATTGCAATGACGATTGGAAAAAGCTCTAATACAGCAATATTGTAGGTCTTCCAAGAGGCCGGCCAAAGACCATGCAACCAACGATTGCCAAACACAGCTCCAAACCCGATGGAACCAGCGGAGTCGGTATAAAGTTTAAGCATGTCTGACGTCTCCCAGGCGTCATCAAGAAAAAACGATTTGCCATTAAAATCTGTTAAAAATCTAAGCCAAATTGCGATGTCCAGCTTTGCGCCTTTTGAAAGACGAATATGATGATGGGGCTTGCGAACGCCTTTCGTAAGATCGATTAAGCGACGCAAAAACGCCCGACCGGGTACAACGACGAGACATGTGAAATTGAGTAAGCCTATGAGTGATTGAAGCTCTTTTAAGCAAACAGATCTACGAGCGAGAAAAACAGTCAATAACTGGCGACATTTAGCCAGCTTATCGTCTGGAAGTCGCGCCTCCATGCGAACGGAGTCTAAAATTATTCCTGCAAACTGCAAAACTGAATCCGGACCTACTGTTTTCTTGGGGGCGAGAGGAACGCCAATATATTCGCACAAAGAAACAAAATTCGACAAGTCGCGTGTGCATTGGGCTTTGGTCGGCGCAATGAAGAGAAAATTGTCTAAAATGTGTAAAACGGACTTAGCTCCGAGATGGTGGATAGAAATCCACTCAAGTGCCGTCGATACAGCTTCAAATATAGCACTGCTCGAACTCAATCCCATCGGCAAAGTCCTATCAAAATAATACAAGTTTTCCCACTTCAAACCTAACAGGGAATAATCAGCAGGGTGAATAGGAATTATGCGAAATGCAGACTTAACATCTGTTTTGGCCATGAAACAACCCCGCCCTAATCGCTTAATCGACTTGGATGCATCACCGACAGACGCATATTTCACTGTGGAGTAAATGTCAGGAATGAAGTCGTTGACCGAAGCACCCTCGGGGTAAGATAAGTGGTGAATGAGACAGCATTCGGACGGATCTTTTTTGGGTACAATGCCTAAAGGGGATGTACGAAAATCAGGAAAGGGTGGGGTTGTAAAAGGACCAACAATTCTCCCAGCCGCGCATTCTCTACTTAACTTGGCTTTAACAAAATCAGGTTGATCTATAGCGCTTTTAAGATTAGGAGATTCGTAAGACAGCCGTTCAACAACAAAATGAACTCGAAAACCAAAACGAAAACCATCAATAAGATACGAAGCTAACGCAGAGTCATAGCCGTGCAGAAAAAATTTAAGACGATCCACTTTTACCGGGGTAACCGGGGGACTGTGTAGAACCCAGTGCTTGAGTCGGGCCTCCTTTACCCTTACCTCCGAAATGGGGTGTGATTGCTTGAATGGCACATTGACTGCCTGGGTGTTTTGCTCCACATTTAAAGCAGGAGTGGTCATATTGGCAGCCAGAGCAATGCTTCCCGGCTTGAAAGGCCCAGCAAGTTCCCTTTGGAAAAGGGGGAGGTTGAAAGCGTTGACAAGTTTGAGTCTGAAATTTGTTTGTGAACGACTGTGGCCTACGAAAACTATTGGCAGCTCTTAGCCATAATTCCCAGTGTATTTGGTCCCATGGGTAAAGTGCTGGGTTCGATTGTCTGAGATAACGAAATTGTTTGTCATACCAAAACCAATCGCCTGATTTATAAGCCAAATCTCGTACAACTTCGCAATATTTCATTAAACTTGGAGTTTCGCTAAAATCTGCTGGGGTTGTGGTTCACCCGTGAAAGCGTTGCGGCCCAGCAGAAGGCGTCATAGATAACGAATATTTGCCTTCAGGAAGCAATGCCCCAAAGTCTACATATTCGTTTGCCCATACTTTGGCTTTAAGTTTAGCACTAACCCGGGCGGGAAGACCCACCGCAATACTAGTAAAAATACCTGAGAAACTATTGTCCCTGGTGATGGCGTGCACTTCGTCGTCCACGGAAGGGGAGACAGGATTGGAGCTGTCAGGAACACTGTTCTTTAAAATGGCAGCTATGTTATCCCCAGGAAATGCAGCCTGAAGGGCTTCGGAAACGGCGGCAGAAATGGTGCATGATAGAGCGCCGACATCCAAGGAGCTGTTCTTGACATTCTTGGAATGGCTAGCTGTGGAACTCATAGCTGGAAGTGGAGGTGTTACTTCACTTATCTCGGATGGGCTGGTTTTCTTTGTTCGTTTGGCCCGTTTAGGACGGTCATTCACAACGGCAGAACGTTTTCTAGGAGGCATAACTGACAAAGGGAATGTACAAAAATGGGAGCATATGACAATAAGAAAAAATCTCGAAATCTACCGTGTTATGGCAAAAATTAATAAAGCACATAGCTACAGACAGTGCTGACAACTCTATTGTCTATTGTTGTCTGGTGAAAAACCGATAGCCTGAGAGGGGCCACGCCTAAGACGCGAGTATAAGATATGGAAATCCGGCTGTGTTCAGACGAACAGCAAAGGTATCAGTTGTAAACCATTACAAGTATGGATGTTGTACATACGTGAATTAAAAAGATCATAGCAAATCAAAAAAGTGAGAGAGCAGGTAGCCACAAAAAACGCCAAGTTCAACAAACAAGTGTGCTGAAACTGCACAATACAGAACAATAAGCTAACGCTTTATTACAGTACCGAGTGCATTGGACACTTTCCCCTAAATTAGGGGATGGTCAGAAAGGGTTGTACACTCAAATGGTAAAGTGAAAGCACAGCGTAAAAGAAATACCAAGGCCAAAAGGATACCAAGATCGTAAATAACATATGTGGTCCACTGGACCAACAAAAACAAGCCTGCTAAGAGGAAAAAATTTCCAAAAATAACATAAGAGGCAAGGCAAAAACATATATGACATAGGCCTGGTTCAAAACAAAAAATGTGAACTGGCAATAAACATCGAAAGAAATACGCTGCTTCTCAAATAAAATGCGGGGTAGGAAACCGCCCATAAAACATTTAAAAAATGCAATGTCCTGCAGTAGAAGCTTACACAATAACTGGCAGATCACGAAGCTTCCGATAAAGCTCTCCAGCATCCTAAAATGGCTCCCCTCAAACTGCGGTAGAGTTTAAAATGACCTAAATTATTAAGGTGGACACCATCACGGTGAAGGAAACGAGATTTGCTGTTCCAAAAATCCCTGTGTTTCCAGTAACAAGCATATGGAATAGGTTCCAAAACCACTCTAAGGTATTTGTATAAAGTGTTTGCTTTGTTATTAAACAGAGGCGCGTTCTCGCGATAAATGGTTTGACAAACACAAATTCTTTTAACGCTATAAGAATCGTATAACAAACGTACAAGATCCTCTATAGCGGACCCCGTTTCTATGGCAGATAACGCCGTTAGATCGTTCGTGCCAAGCTGCAAAATGACAATATCGGGAGCAAATGATCTTACGACTCCGAGGTCAAGTTGCAGAGTTTTTGGTACTGTCCTTCCCCCTATCCCGTGCCATTTGAAAATAAGGTCGTCGCCCAAGTTAAAATTCTCTAGGAAATTGCGACTGAAATGAGCAACAAGAAAACTAAACAAACGATGGATAAAGGAGTGACCGAGGATAAGTACACGTGTTGGTGCCATGCACAGGATATGTTAAATGCGAGGTTTGAAATATTCAATGAAATTGAACACCAACAAAATAATAGCAAGATAGAGAATACAGAAATTTTCAACTTGCCTGAAACTTTGGACTGTGTTATCGAAGAGAGGAAAAAATTTCTTGAGCACTTGACGTTCGAATGGTGAGGGATAGAAGTAAAGTTGTTGTAAAGTGAAACAGCACATGGAACATCAGTTAACAGCAAATAATCATTTGTTTGCACGGAATATCGTATAGAAACATATAGATTATTTCCAATGGTCAAAATATTATTCGAAGTGGAAGAAGTCCATTCATTGATATGTTCTACTTGATGATAAATAATAGCAGTAAGTGACATTGCTACACATTGCTTACCAGCATTTTCACCAAAGAGTGCTTCATTTCCTTGACTGTAGTCTGCAGACACTGTTATCATTGGGTCAATGATATCAAATATCGTAGGGCCAGGATTTTCCTCAACATCATTTGCTTGTCTTATAAGCAATGGAATATAAACATTGTAGCACATCATTTGTGTAAACCAAAACATCACTTGATTCAACATTTTGTATTGCATAACAACTTGTTTCAGTGTCGGCAAATAAAATACATTTAAATAAAACGTCATTGGCATTATATTCCAAAACTGATCCTTAAAGCGCGATGAGGCATCCTTTGTTTTCACGAAATTGTCATGAGATCCAATCCTTGAACGGAAATGTTCAATAGAGATCCCCATATTTACTTGTGTTCTTGAGCGAGCAACAACAACAATCCAATAAACTAGAAACTCAGTTTATTAAAATAAATAACGCTCTTGACAGTTCTAAGCAAACAATAGTTTCTTTCAGTATGTGACACTTTGAGACACTCGTGAGACACTTTGAGACACTTTGAGACACTTTGAGACACTTTGAGACACTCTGAGACTCTTTGAAGTACAACCCGCACAAATATATTCAAGCCGAAAAATGTTGGCTTGCGAGAGTACAATGACTCCTTTCAATCTGGCACAACCCGCACCAACGGTCCAAGCCGATAAATGTTGGCTTGTGAAAGCGTAAAAGCTCCTGTGCAACCTGCACTGAACACAAGCCGCGTTTCAGCGTGTTGGCTTGCGTGAAAAAATCTTCTGTTATAAACACCTGAAGAAATAACGAAATAAACGCCTCAGATTATGAAAGAAAGAACACAAACCAGGTGCACAAACGTAATCGCCTTTCGTGAGAGGTTAATCGTGAAGCTCCCACAACAAAATTGAAAAGTTAAAGCACGCAAAGAACGCGTGAAAATAGAAAATGAATTATCCTTACCCTGGAAACAAAAATCTCCAGGAAACAATTATGAAATTCCGTATAAGTTCTCCAAAACCCAAAATCTGAGAAGAGAAATGGCCGCCGTACAATACACAGTGAAAAAAACATCTACTGGAATCCAGTCTTCACGGCTCAGATAGAAACCACGTGACAAGCACTTCTCTCTCGTGGACAAATAAATAAAGAAATAAATTTTGCGGGCCTTGACAAAGTGTGGGAAATCCCACACAAAAACTGGTTATCAAAGGACACATAACATTATAGAAATAGTAATTATTAGTGATAATAGTGATGATAATAATAATTATGATATTCCCCTAAACTACTTGGCATGTTACAAGAACATCTCTTCATAGTATAAAATATTACCGGTAATTATGATAATAATAAAAATAACTAATAATAATGATATTCCCCTAAACTACTTAGCATGTTACAAGAACATCTCTACATAGTTTAAAATAATAATAATAATAATAATAACTGTAATAATAATGATATTCCCCTAAACTACTCGGCATGTTACAAGAACATCTCTGCTTAGCACAAAATAATAATAATAATAATAATAATAATGATATTCCTCTAAACTACTTAGCATGTTACAAGAACATCTCTGCATAGTATACAACAACAACAATTATAACTTTTTTAAATAAATAATGCAAGTAACTTTATTTGATTCTTTTCCTACAATATAGTGTAAACTTAATTAAATTAAAATCTGTTATAGGTCTCATTTCACATAGTTATTTCAGTCTAATGAGTACATTCTATCGACTACAATCTGTTACTTCCTAATCCTATCCTTAACTATTTCCGAGTTCAACCTAGCTCTAGGGAATTATCATGGAAAATCTTATTTGAAGATAAAAAAAACATCCATCATATATTAAAAAATCTAAAAACAAAAACAAAAACTTTTCTTTAAATCCACTATGAAATAAAAACCTATGAAAATCTTGTGAAACAATTCATTGTAAATTCACATATTTTTCACGGGTTTTTCATTGTTAAATCAATGACATTTTCATGGTCTCAGTACCATGAAAAAGACCTGAAAAATCCCATGAAAAACCTGTGAAAATTTTCATATTAACGACCCATGAAATATTGAGTAAAGTGACCTAGAAGCCATGAAAAACCCATGAAAATGGCATTTCATGGCCTTTTCAAAGGTACTGAGAAACCCATGAATTTCACGCCCAAAAAATTTCATGGTGTCAAAGTTCACTAGTTTTTAATGGGTTGCAGCAAATCATGACCTGTGAATATCCTGTGAATATGTAAAAATTAAAATTTTCCTTGAATTTTCATGGCCTCTCCATGGTATTTTCATGGCACATGAAAGTTAATTGCCAGTTGGTTTTCATGGGGTTGTTAGGAATATGCAAGGACCATGAAAATTCTTTGGAAACCCCATGAATTTAGAATGAAAAATCTTCACTTTTCTTGTACCAAAGACTGCACTACAGTGTATAGCTTGCAATATACCACAACTGTAATACATACAAAATCACTTAAATTATACATTGAAGAACTAACCTCTCTGTGAAACTTCTTGGTACTGTTGTACAAGCACACACACATGAAAGAAATGACCAGAAATCTGAATTCTCTGATAATTTATTTTGTTTCACCAGCTGTACATAAATATTAATTTTGGATTCCAAAATTGTGATAATCCAGTTTACACTTTCTTAAATCAAAAAAGTTGGTATGCAATTTTCCGCAAATGTTGTTTTAGCTCTATTTTTATATCACTGATTTTCCTTGTATTTAGTGCGCGTGCTCCGATGTCTACGCATAGTGAGATGACCAAGCTTGAACTTACCCCTTCATGTTGTAATGCATCGACACACTAATCTTGAGGAAACTTCTTTGAATAAACTTTCCAGACAGTCCATTAAGTTGATCTGGAAAAAAAGAGACTGATACACAAACACTAATACCGAAAGTACCACTCGAGGTACAAAAAAACCGCCACTTCTTCATAAATCACATGTCCTATCACCTTAGGTCATCGCAGTCATCATAGGCCAGCGGTCACATGGTGACCTCACAGGTCATTGTGTTCGACATTGCCAAATGACTCTGAAGAGGTCTCGTCCTTGTGTCTGTAATCTTACAAAATAAGGCAGCACAAAAGTTGTTCAGTGTTTGGAATTCGAATCAAGTAGCAATAGACAGGCCATCAGAGTCCAAGAAAGCCAGATCTGACATCAACAGTGATTTCTGTGAGAGCAATCACGAAATTGACAACAATGTTGCAGATGGCGATGTCAATGAATACATTAAGGTAATGGTTCATTGCAACTGAGAAGATGGCCTGACTCTGATAACCGGTGACTCTATGAACGAGGTTAAAATGGTATTTTTTTCAGGTTACATATGCACACTATTCAAAGTTCCAAATTGAGGTGAGAAAGTGATTGATTTTTCATTGTTTTGTCCCACATTTCGTGTACATGCAATGTGTACTATTGCCGTGCAACTTAAGCATCTGTACTGTGCAGGTGCCTTACCAGAAAAGCTCTAGAAGATTCCTCAGCTGTAAGAATGTAAGAGAAGGCCTTGAACAGGTTTCCAGAATCATGGCTAACAATCAAAGCCAGCAGTGAGACAAAAAAAAATTCAACAAAGTTGTCTAGGCATGGCGAAGGCAAAGAGGTGCCAAAAAATCAAAGTGAGGATCAAACATCTGGGTCATTGCCCCCAACCCCATTTGTCTCAACAAAGGAGCAAATTGAAGATCCATTGTTTTTAGACATTGATTTGTGATTTCCTGTACTTTTTACATTGACACAGGCCACTTAAGATGTTTAGGGACATTTTCATTTGACCGTTTTATTTCGTGCTGTACACCAAAATTCCCTTACTGGATAAATTCATAACAATTCAGTTCCACGGGGCCTGAAAGTCAGCTCATTGATAAATCAGTAACTGTGATGAACTCATTAATACCACTTTTAATGGACTACGAATTCATCAATGAAATTCATGGGCAATATATATACCCATGTACAGATTTCAGGGAATATTCATGGCCCATTAATTTTGTTCTTCCAAAACAAATGAATTGTTAGCCCAGGAAATGCTGTTTGATTGCAATTCATGGGCATGAAATTCATTCTGATGACTTTCTGAGGAAACCAATGGGTCATGAAAGTAGACTTTGAAGAAATTCATGGGTCATGAAAATTGGCTTATAAAGAAATTCATGGGTCATGAAATTAATTCTGGTGACTTTCACGGCAAATCAATGGGTCATGAAAGTAGACTTTGAAGAAACTCATGGGTCATGAAAAAATTCCCCTAATTCATGGAAATTTCAGGGCCAAAAATAACCCAATGAAATTTCATTTTGCAGTATTCATGGGCCATGAAATGATTTTCATGGTTTTTCATGAGAAGTTCATGGAATTTTCATAAAACTACAGCTCATAGTGATCCTACTTGTTCTTTTTCAACCTCAAAGTCACAATGTTCAATGTTCAGAGGGACATGCCCAAAGTATGCCCAAAGCATACTCGGACGATTTACGTTTAAGAGCTGTATGGCTTCATGTGTTCCTTGGTTATAACATTGAGGATACATCCGGTATGCTGGCAATGTCACCAAGCTCAGTAAAGAGATTCAAAAAAAAATTTGTGCGCACGGGTGAAGTTGTGGCCAAGAAAACTGGAAGACCTTTGGATCTGGTTGGAATGCACCCGCGTGAGGAGCTTGTGATGATGGAAGCTATGCTAGAGCACCCAGAGAAGACACTGACTGAGATTGTAAGAAATTATGACTGTATTCGGAAACCGTTTTCAAGTGTCGACGGTTTGCCGATACTTTCAAAGAAACGGCGTTGCAAGAAAACGGATAAGCAGTTATCAGCAGGATTATTATACACCTTTTAACGTGGGGATATTTGTTGACTCAGAAGAATAAATAGCTTTGTTTTTGCACAACAAGCCTCGGCCAGACGCGAATTTAGAGAGAGGTTTGCTTTGCAAAAACAAAGCTTTTTATTCCCATGAGACTCAACATGGCCGCCAAGTGACAAAGGCCAATTAACTATGATAGGATTGACAGGGAAAAAGTGCCTCTGCTCGTGCTTTTTTCATATTTCTTCACGCGCCAGTCTTTGCCAATCAACAACGTCAAAATGATCAAATATACGTTATTTTGGAGAACACGAAGACATGACAGTTTCCTACCTATGAACTTTAAACTCGATTGAAACCTCAGTAACAAGAAACAAATTATGCATAATGGAAAAATATTAAAATAAAAAGTAATTTAAAAGGAGAGTTGTTTTTTTTAAGTGGCGCTTTTGTCTCTGTTGTTGCCGTGGTGGTAACTGAACTGCCCATTATTCCAATCAATTTTGTCACCATACTGTCCGAAAATGAAGTCTGATCAGTGAGGGCATATT